ATCTTGGGTCCATTCAAACCCTTTGCTTTTAATTGCCTTAAAGAAAGGCAGGCAGCGGTCTACCGATTTGGACATAAAGCGGCTTAGGGCGGCTATGCGGCCATTCAACCTCTGAACCTCCTTCAATTTCCGGGGTGGTTTCATATCTAAGATGGCCTTAATTTTATTCGAGTTGGCCTCAATACCGCGCCGGTTGACGATGTACCTTAGGAATTTATCTGAGGTAACACCGAAGACACACTTGTTTGGATTTAACTTCATATTAAATTGTCGCAGAATTTGAAAGACAGAATGTAAGTCTTGTGTTAATTCATGTGAGAATTGGGTTTTGACGACCACATCGTCTACATAACACTCAATTTTCGTGCCAACTAATGGTTCAAATAGTTTATTTACAAGACTCTGAAAGGTTGCCCCAACATTTTTCAATCCGAAGGGCATAACCTTGTAACAATACAAACCAAACTCTGTTATGAATGCAGTTTTTTCTTCGTCCGCCGGGTCCATCCTGATCTGGTTGTAGCCCGAATAGGCGTCTAAGAAACTTAGCAACTTGTGCCTCGAGGTCGCGTCCACTAGGCGGTCGATTCTGGGAAGGGGGAAGCAATCTTTTGGGCAAGCTCGGTTCATGTTGGTGTAGTCGACGCACATGCACCACTTGTCGTTAGCCTTCTTTACCAGAACGGGGTTGGCTACCCAGCTCGGGTAATGGACTTCTCTTATGAAGTCGGCTGCGAGGAGTTTCCTGACCTCCTCGTCGACTGCTTTCCATCGCTCTGGGGCTAGGTTGTGTTTCTTCTGTCTAACGGGCCTAACTACAGGATCAGTATTGAGCTTGTGAGTTATGAGATTAGGGTCTATGTCAGGCATCTCTGCCGCGGACCATGCAAAAACATCTAAATTTTGATGTAGGAAACTTACTAGTTCGGATTGCAGGGGTTCCTGGACTGAAACTCCGATCTGAAGTGTCCGAGTTGGGTCTTCCGCTGAAGCTGGAATAGCAATTGTTTCTTCCATGGGTGCAGCTCATTCTTTGACTTGCTCCGTAGATCGCTCCAGTTCGAGATTGTCGGCCACCTTGGTCTTTCCGTTGAGGGTGGCGACATAGCATTTGCGAGACTCAAGCTGGTCGCCCCGCGCTACTCCCACTCCGAAGTCTGTAGGGAATTTCATTGCCAAATAATAAGTGGAAACCACCACCCGTAGGGCATGGGTGATCGGCTGGCCTATTATGGCATTGTACGGGGAGGGGGTCGCGACCACTAAGAAGTCATGGTTGAGCCTTACTACGCTGGGCCATGTGCCGACTTCCACAGGTAATGTTATTTTCCCCAGGGACCTGACTTCTTCTCCAGTGAAGCCTACCAAGGGAGTATTCGCGGGCCTCAAGTCACTTCCCTGCAACTAAAGCTGGTTGAACGCGGCTTTGAAGAGGATATCCGCCGAGCTACCTGAGTCAACGAGGACGTGCCTGACCTCGAAATCATTGATCCTTACTTTTATGATGAGCGCATCGTCGTGGGGGTAGTGGACCCCGCGCGCATCGTCCTCCGTGAAGAAGATCGGTTCCTCTATCTTCGGCCACTTCAGAGGATTCTGCTCTTCTCTGGCAGCTTCACGAACTGATGTCTGAGCTGCCGCCGAGGTGCAGCTTGCAACAATTAAGCCTCCAACTACCATGTGGATGGTGCCCCGAACTGGCCTCTCTTCTGGGGGCTGCCTCTGTGACTGCTCTGTCGGCCTGCTGCTGGACTCGGGAGCATCCTTACCGTGCTCCCCTTGCCGATCTGCTTTACTGTTATCATTAGTATTATTATTATTATTATTATTATTATTATTATTATTATTATTATTATTATTATTATTATTATTATTATTATGTACAAAATTCCTTAGATATCCACGACGAATGAGTTCCTCTATCTCGTCGCGGAGATTCTTACAGTTCTCGGTACTATGAATGTGGTCTCTGTGAAATGTGCAATATAAATTTTTATTCCTTTCATTAGGATTCCCCCTCGGGCGGGGTGGCCACTTCACATACGGGGCATCCTTGATTGCCATCAGGATTTCGGCCCGCTTAGCAATCAGTGGGGTGTAGTCAGTTCGATCCGCTATAGAGGCTTGGAACGGCTGACTCGGCTTTGCCCCCCCAAGCTAAGTCCTTCTTCTTTCGGTTGTCTCCTTGGCTGGAAAGTCCCCCTTCTCTCTTTCTCTTTTCGGGCGCGCTCTCGCCCTTCTGGTTGATCTCCTCTTCCGTGGCTATGAACCTGTCTGTGAGCTTGAGGAATTCAGTTATGGTCGCCGGCTGGTTGACAACCATGTGCCACTTGAATTCCTTGTGCGTCATGCCCTTCTTGGCTGCTGCAAGGCGCACTATAGGGTCTAGACGCGGTATCTGCATGCATGCATGCATCGTTGAACACATTGATATAGCCCCGGATGGACTCTCCCTCTCTCTGGACTATGCTGGGAAGGCTTTCCTCAGTTCACGGGCACCGCTTGCTAGTGACGAAGTGGGACGTGAAGGCTTGCGCGAATTGTGCCCAGCTTCTTATCGACCCGGGTGCAAGGTTCTGATACCACGTGTGGGCCACTCCTCTGAAAGTGGTGGAGAAGGCCACTTACATGCAAGACTCACTGGCCCTCGCCAGGTGCATCTGTGACTGGAAAGCGTCTATGTGATCATTCGGGTCGAACGACCCGTCATACTTATCGAGAGGGGGGAGCTTGAAGTCCTTGGGCATTGGAATGGCCAGGAGCTCGGGAGACAGGGGGATGGAATAGAAAGGAGAGGAGTTTTTACTTCACCCAAGCTTACCTCTTCCTTGCCTCTGAGTTTGGGCAGGTCGTAGGTGGCAGTTCGATGAGCTTGGCGGCGGTGTCTTTGCTTCTTGGTGAGCTCCGCTTTGGTGCTGCTCGCCTCCGTACTGTCAGGGATAGTTTTCACAGGAAGCGACTCGGGCTGCTGGTGATGGCTGCGGATGGAGGGGTCCTGCTTAGAGTCTGCAGCCAGGATTTCAAACCGGTTCTCCAAAAGTGGGGCTTCGAACTTCGATTGTTGGGGTGACGCAGGCCTGGCAAGTTGGGATCCTCCCGACCTGACTGCCCGCGGCGAGACCGGAGTGGCTAGTCTTTCCTTCCTGCCCGCGGCGAGACCATGCTCGAGAGATTAGCTCGTGAGCGAAGATGTATTCACTTTAGAGTATGAGAGTGCGAAAGTATTCGAAAGTTTGAAGATCCCCCTTCTCTTCTGCCTTGAGGGCTTTTATAGGGGCATTCTTTGTCAAATCGGGTGTAACCGCCATTGGGCCCCTACCACAACCGTTACCTGTCAGGGCTACGCAGGTGGCCGTTGCAACGTACTCCTTGCTCAGATGAGTGACACGTCTCCAAAGGGCAGGCGTGCCTCTGCCTGCTGAGAGACGTGGGTGCAGACTGCCGAAAGGACAGAGACTGCGCTGTCAGTCAAGGGACGTGGTATAGTCTGGTCGGTACGGCTTGTCAGATAGAAGCTTCCTGAGGAACACTCGCGCTGTCCACTTGCGAGCTACCTTGTAGCGAGCTTAGGAATACTTCAGGGTTACCCTTATTAGAATTGGACCCTGGGATGATTTATTTGCTTGGGGGCTTAAGCGAGCTGGTTTCCCTAGCTCGCAAGCTAAAGTTGCCTCGGAATATCCCCTTTGAGGTAGCTCGGGGAATTCGGAGCTCGCGTTGTAGCGAGCTGTTTTTTATAGGCTCGTCAGTTAGTCGTTACCAGGCCATGATGCTGAGCTGTTACCCGTGTGGAGTCAGGTCCACGTGTCATCGTTTCGTAGATCGGGCCAAATCATCCTCCATCACAAACCGTGAACCCAAAACCTGTGATATATATATAAGATATTTTATTTCTTTAAAAATTGTCAATGTGTCTTTTTGGTGGTTTGCTCTATGGGTAATCATTTCAGTCCAACCAGGACAAATCGGAACTTCGGGTCTTGGGCCTAGGTTTTATGTTCAGGCTGGGCCCAAAGTTCGGCTCTTGAATATAATCCTTAATTTGCCCCTTTTCATTGAGGGCAAAATCATAGGTATTAGGGATGTATTTGGTTTGACTGGGTATTTATTAAATCAGTAATTAATGGTTTATGCCATTAATAGGAGTGGATTTGAGTCTAGTTATTTGAGTTCAGCTCATCAATAAGGAGGCTCGAGCTCGAGCTCAATTTGACTCAAAAGCTCGTAAGTTTGAGCTTGATTATAAGCCAAATGTTTTATTAAAACAATAATATATATATATAATTATTTTTTATTTGATAAATAAAAAATTAAGAATTATAAAAACTAGTTATTACTATTATATATAAATAATAAAACTATTATATATAACATTTTTATTTTTATTTTTATTTTTATATTATTTTATGTATAATATATATATAAAAGCTCGATTAGACTTGCAAGTAGTGTTTTTGAATCACCATTGACTCGGATGGTCGGATCATTCGGCCCGGGAACCATCCAGGCAACCGGTTCCGTTTTTGCATAAATTTGGAATCTGGTAAAAAACCGTTGAAAAAGTCAATAAAATATTGACCTGGGCGGTTGAACCGTTAAACCGTCAACCCGTTTAATGGTTTTTGACTGTTTTTTTATTTTTTAAAATTTTCTGCCAGAACGAACCGTCCATTCGAACCGGACGGTCGAACGTTGACCTAGAAACCGATAACCAAAACAGTTCCATTTTCGGATCGTTTTTTAAAACATTGCTTACAAAACTTGAGAATCAAACTTTATTAGGCTCGATTAACAAACCTATATATTGAATTCGAATTCGATTTAAAGCTCAATTTAGAACAAACCGAATCGAGCTTGAACCGAACTCGAGCTCGCTCGTGCACGATCAATAATGTTTTTGCACCTAATAAATTACTCGATTTGGTAAATAATATAACCCCATTAAAAGGATTTGAGATTTTAGAATGATGAATTGTAACAAAAACAGCAAATGATTTCAGAATGACATGATCAAGCCGGCAATTCAAGGGGTGTTAAATGTTTTGAAAGCATGCAAGAAGTCGAAGGCCCTGAAACGTGTTATTTTGACATCATCAGCAGCCGCTGTGTCGATTAATAAGCTGAATGGCGTAGGTCTTGTCATGGACGAGAGTTGCTGGACCGATGTTGAGTTCTTGACTTCTGAAAAGCCACCAACTTGGGTAAAGCCCTGTCACGCTTCTCTTTTCTTCTACTTCAAGTAGAGTTATTATTTTGTTGGTTGGCGACGACCCAAGCCTGGGCTGATGCCTGATGGGGCTCAGAAATCAGAAGCCAGAGGCTCGTTTAGCCAAATTAGAGCTGAGAGATTTGGCGTTATGACTTGTGACCTCGTCGGCTTTACAGGGATATGCAGCATCGAAGACACTAGGGGAGAAAGCAGCCTGGAAATTCGCTGAAGAAAACCAGATGGACCTCATCACTGTCTCACCTTCTCTCATGGCTGGCTCATCTCTTACCCAGGACGTGCCCTCCAGCGTTTGTCTCGCCATGTCCTTACTCACAGGTCAGAAACTGAGAAGTTAAGCACACAAACCATAGCGTGCATGCGGCATGCCTAAAAGAAATTATTGGGTTCACCCTTAACCAGATAGAAGATAGAGAGAAATGTGTTGGGAAGAAACTAAGTTTATTCACAAACTATTTCTCTCCCAAAAATAAAAATTTGTAGATATTCAGCTATCACAATTCCAAATAAGATATCAACAAAAGCAATTATAAGCCAAGCAAAGAGAGACACACACGATATTTAACGTGGAAAACCCCTCCAATGTGAAGGGTAAAAACCACGGAGCCAAGGAGACCCAACCAAAAATCTCCACTAATAACTTGAGGTAACAATTACAGCAACTCAAACACCACAATATGCTCACAAACTTAGAGCAAATACAGATTCTCAAACATACAAACGAGAATATTAAAAACAGTGAAAATAACAGTCAGAAAAACTCACAAACGCGGCTACTGTTCAGGCCACAACATGGAGACCTTCACCGTTCCGATCGTAGGTCTGTGAGTTTCGAACAATCCCACCAAATTTTAGCTAAATCGAACCACAAATGACCCTTGATCAGAATAATTGATGAAGACTGCCGCGAAATGTTTTCTTTTCCCGAACAACTACGAGTTGCTTCTGTTCGACCTCAAATAACCAGCGATTCAGAGCTCCGATCAAAGATCCGACCGTTCAGAATGAAGAAAAATGAGTCATCCACTTACTGTCCAAATTTCTGCTCGATCGGACGGTGGATCGGAAAGTTCCGGCCGTTTGATGAACTCTACGCACTGAGAAATCTGCACAGTATTTCGATTTCTCTCTTTTCCTCTCTCTTCAACACGCCGCGCACAAAAAAGATCTAACCCTAGTTTTTGTTTTTTTTTTTTTTTTTTAAAAAAAAAAAAACAGTTGGCTGAAGAAGAGTGGACTATAATATGGGTTAGGCTGGGCCCAACAAAATGGACATAGTTTTTTGGTAGAATTGTTTCCATTTCATTACTTCATATATATACTTCATGAAATTCACCTAAACAAACATATGTTTTTGTACAATTTTTTAGGGAACGAGCTCCTAATCAATGGCATCAAAGTCATGCAAACTTTATCAGGTTCAATCTCAATAACACACGTGAGGGATGTTTGTCGGGCCCAGATCTTCTTAGCCGAGAAGGAATCAGCTTCTGGTCGATACATCTGCTGTCACATCAACACAAGTGTTATAGAGCTTGCGAAGTTCCTAAGGGAAAGATACCCACAATACAACGTCCCTACTGAGTATGAGTACGTCCCTGACTGGAGCATAAAAATCTTTTATCCCAACTTGCTTTTTCCAGTATTGTAGGGATTAATGTATCTTTATTTTTATTTTTATTTTCTTGCCAGAAAAAAGAAGATTATATTAATTTATCAAAAAGGTTTACATCCATTCCATTTTCAGGAAGTTGAAAGCTCCTATCCATACCCCCNCCCCCCTTGCATACTGGCCATAAGCTATCTTATGGGTCAGCATATTTACATCCCTACTTACATGCATAGCAAATTTTACAGATTTCAAAACCATTTAATAGTTTCTGCACCTCAGTCCTGAATACTTTCTCTTTCCAAGCAGCTTGTGTTGTATGAGGTAATAATATCTACTATTCTTTTAGTATCACAGCACATTTCGTTGACTGATTCCCCTGCACCGTGCTTGTTGCAACCTAGGATAAGTGCTTGTCATTCAGCTCCTGCTGGTTCCTGGGCCTGGCACCTACTTTACTTCCTGCTGCTGCAACTACCCTGCAACCATTTTTCATTATGACAACTTTTGTTAGCTCTTTGTATATTTGACATATATGAGCCATCCACATACAAAGTATAGTCAGGAGTTGATTTTTTAACCCTCTGATTTTCAAGTTGGTGTGTTTAGTCATGAACCAAATAATTTTGTACTACTTGTGCAACAGCTAGAGGGTTTGAGTTTTTGTTCTCATGGAGTTTCTTGTTAATTTCGAGCTTCCCAAATCAGATGGCAATGGCAGCCTTAGCCATCAATTCTTGCTTCTGGGGCATTGAAATTGCTGAAAGTGTCTGTTGTTGCCATATCTCCATTAACTCATGAATCATTGGGATGAATGTATCCCATCACATAGAAATTACATATCGTCAGCTTGGATTGGGAAGAGGTTGAAATCCTCAATGCTCAGAGGTCCTTTTCTATGGACCAATGCCACAAAAATTCATGGGTAGTCCGCAAACTTTCTTGGGAAGTAGAGATTATAGATCAATGAAGTCCAAATATATTATACATGCATGTGTTCTACACAATTTTAGCTTCTACAAGATAAATTTGAGTTCAATTATATTTATAGCTCTCTTGTGTTGTGACGTTGTAATTTCTTGTAGATTCGGTGATTTTCCCAAGGCCAAGCTGATCATCTCTTCGGAGAAGCTGATTAAAGAAGGTTTCAGCTTCAAGTATGGGATTAAAGAAATTTATGATCAATCTGTCGAGTATTTCAAAAGTAAAGGGCTGCTCCAGAACTAATTAAGGAGATTGTTTCTTTTACCCAGATATGCTATCTGGTTAGCATTGTATCTATTATGATTTATGATTTAGCTCAGCAGTAAGCACTGAACTAGACAGAGTAGTAGAGTACTATGGAGTGTTTATTTGTCTCTCCATATAAATGTTAGATATCTTATTAAATCACAAGTGCACGCACATAATACGACAATAAGGTCTGTCTTTTCCAAACCTGGTCTGTTTTCCTTATCACCTGTACTGTGGAAAGATTTGATGCAATGAATTACCTCCGGGCATTTCAAAAGAATAAATAAATAAATAAAATAAGCCTATTTTTAGTAGAGTGGTCACCTTTAATTTGAATAAGAACATGGGTGGGCCTATTAGTAAAATCTATTTAGGGACTTCACTTGAATACAAATATTTGAACAGTAGATCACTTGGTTCTTTGAGATGGCATCAAAACCTATTAAACCAAGTGGTCTTGTGTTTAATCATTTTTCCCATTATAATTAATTAAAATTAACATAAGGTATGGGTGAGGGGGCACGTCAGAGAATAAAAATTTATTCAGAATAAAGCTGTTAGGTCGAACAGTTCCTTGGAGACTCAGGTCACTTGGTTACTTCAAAATTCCCTCAATAAATCTAACGTCACGATTGGTTTAGTCTTCACATTGAAGATGATTTAGAATGACCTCAATGACATTGTCTTAACGGTGGGTTTGGTTCTAGGAAATGATTTTCTGCTCAACACGATGAAAACACTGGAAAATCAATTGGGTTCAATACAGATAATCAATGTAGAAGATGTTTGTTTCGCACGAGTATTTGTATCTGAGATGAAATCAGATAGTCAATACGGACGTACCCAGAATATTAACATTTCTACATAGTGAGCCCCTGAACCAAGCAGATGATTCAAAGAACCATAGCTGGTTTTCTTTTTTTCTTTTTTCCTTTTTTTTTTTTGATGTAGAAAATCATAGATGTAAGCGAACACCCCCACCCCCTACGTTTCTCTGCACACCTCGAAGTTTATTAATTGATTTAAGACAATAAAATTTAGGGTGAGGTCATTTGCCCAAATGACTATGAGAGGATCCGTAACAAGTCTTGCTTGTTAATTTTGTGGGCTATGATTAACCAATTTGTATGTACCCTATGCAAATGCAACAATAAACAAGTTAATAAAAATCAAAATGCAGGAGATAGAAGTTATTTTCAAGGAATCAACTAGTTAAAATGTAGCATTAAATACTAAATACTCATAGACCCAGGTCCTACATTGCATATACAGAATTGAGCTGCTTTCCTTGTTTCCCCGTTCAACATTTGGTTCCACCACAGAAAGCAACTGAAAACTCAAGCGAGAAAAGTTGCGTACCCAAAACAACACCAAGAGTTTTGGAACTAAGCAAGAAAAGTTTTAAAGTAATTAACTCATAAAAAAAATGTTTAAAAGTAATTATACAAAGAATCCCAGTAAGCGTACAGAAAAGGATCTCCATCTACATCCTATGAAGCAGTTGTTTCAGTTTTTTCTCTGTTCTTTACCACTGTCTTCCATTTCTCTGAACTGTCAATTATTTCTCCAGTTTTCAAGAGGTAACGGACCCGGCTACCATCCTCAAGGATTTTGTGGCCCACCCTGCTTGCAACATTCTGCTCTTTGGAATAGAGCATCACATTTGAGCTATGAATTGGTCCCTCAATCTGCTCAGAAAAATAAATAAATAAACATTCAAGATGGCAAGAAATATAAGATTTTACCCTTGATGATAAAGAAAATGAATATATGAAGCACAACGTGCTTGAAACCTTCCACTGAAAGGACTAGATTACAGGATATATAAAGTTGCATATGCACACACACTGGCATTTTCTCCAAGTGGTATCTGCTGTTTATTATATTAAAAATGGACTAGTTTTTCAAAATTATACTAGTTCAGTGTGTCAAACAGGGCTCTGAGTGCTAACACTATATATATCAAGATGACAAATGATCAATGGTATAAACCAAATATGCAGACTTGGAATACAAATGAAAATAAACTTGATGCAGGCATGGAAGCAAGGAATAATTTAGCCATTCAACCTGCAATCTTAACCACTTTCTTATTTTCATCCTTCAAGAAAAGATAAAGGGACCCTTTCTTGAGTTTATTCAAGCTCTAGAGACCCTAAGATGCTCACTCCAGCTTTATTATTGTTTTTTTCTTTCCTTTTATCTCTTTTTTGTTTTCCAGTTTCCTTCTTTAGCTATGCTATTTAACCTAGACCAGCAATTTCCAAGAGAAGAAGGTTGTTTTGCTGCATCAGAGATGAAAGATGATATTGCCCATGAATTTAAAGATGGGTATGCAAAGAAATTATTTTTGGATTGAAGAAGCACCAATGCATAGTAGTAAATTTAAGTAGAAAAGCTATAGAAACGTTAAGAAACCAAGAAACAACAAATCTACATAAATACTAGCAAAACTAAAGTGTGAATTGACAAGTGAAAAGAAAAAAGGAGAAAAATTAGAGAAATAAATGCAATCCTTAGAAGAAGAGGGTTATGTTAACAGGTAAAAAAGACAAGGGGTAAGTCAGTTGTAATGGATTTATAATGTTCTGTTAAAGGCTGAGTAAAAAAGGATTGACGTATCACAGCATCAGTAGGAGGGATTAGGTACAAGTCAAAGACTCTTAAAGGACATGGAGGACAAAACGAGAGAACGGGAATTATACAGCAGACAAAAAGTAGTTTGGATAAAATCAAAATTAAGAAAGATTACTAATAAAAAAAGGCAGTTCATATTAGAAATTATATCAATAGAAACTGACCTTGACAATCTGCCCTGGCTCACCCTCTTCTCTGCTCTTCACGTGCTTAGTTTTCAAGTTAATATCTTTCACTATCACAGTGCTGTTATGCCTGAAAACCTTAGTAATCTCTCCAATTTTGCCCTTTTCACGTCCAGATATTATTTTCACTGTATCCCCCACCTTAACATGCATTTTGTGTAGCACTGGCAGACTGTTTGGTTTGCATTCCTTCCGCTCCCATTGCTTAAGCTGTTCAAAGGGGGGAAAAAACACCAATGCTCATTACATGATTTGAGCACATTATACATCAAGGTTCAGATAAATCCCAGGCTACAAAGATATTGTACCGCTTTTCTCCCATTGGTATCCAACAGATGTAATTATTGCACCCTCCCCATGGAAATTCCAAACCCAGTTTTCTTTTCTTTAGATAGAAGCATAGAACATATACTGCTTGTTATCAGTAAGGCAATAAGTAAGAAAAGGTTATATATATATATATATATATATATATATATATATATATATATATGTGTGTGTGTGTGTGTGTTTTGCCCCTCTTGTTGGTATGGTAGTTTGTGTTAGTTCCTTGTCCTTTCTTTCTTTTTAAGTATCAGCATAATTTGTCCACAAGAAGACATGCATCTGAAAACTGCAAAGATTAAATTATAAGAAGAGGATGTAATATACTAACCTTCATTACAATGAGACATCGCTTTTCCATGGACTTCATCTGCACATCAGACATGCAAAAATTGTCAACAGGGTGTTAACCATGGGTTGTAAATAGATTAACAGGGAAAACATGATTCATTTAATGGAATTACCACGATTACCACAATCTACATGGAAACGATATTAACTGTATAATAGGATGGATTAACCCTTTTATAGTGCAGAAAAGATAATTGATTATGAAAAAACACATCAGTAAGTGAATAACCAAATTGTTCTATGTAACTTCAGTGAAATTGGTCAACCTTGTAAGAAACTCAACGATGTAATTTGCCCGTGGACAATCGTAACCCTAAGACTATATAGAACCGAAAGAAAATCATGATATCAAAATGCAGGCTTATTGCCAAGTTGTTCTATCTAATTTCAGTCACTTTTGTGAAACTAATGGGACATGGATGCTTTTCATAATATAAGACATTAAAGAAGAATATCTCCAATCCTTTAGGATATAAAAGAACTTGAGACAGAGGTGGTAAACAATTGGTGAATGTATGTTAAATTTCTGTTTCCCATCACTTCACATAGGGAAGGCACTCCCTAATTGCCATGATTCCCATTAATTATCACCAGAAAGAAAGGATGCAGATTGTTTGGCATGCTCCCTACACTTTTGGCAGTAAGTAGCTACAACATATGGATAATTGAACACCAGAAAAGCAATATTTCCCAACATCAACAAGCATTGCAAATGCTGCTCTTTGAATTATTACAATTTTTTTCGAGATGCAGCATAGCCAGACCTGGTTAAGCTATGAAGAATTACAAAATAGAACATGTAGAAGAGTAAGACGAAGAAAAGACAGATAACATCACATACCGGCACGGAATAGAGAGAAGGTGAAAAGCGTTGGCCTAAGAAGGAATTGGAGGAGATAGAGAGGGAAGTCATGGAGCTCTGAAGTGCAGTAATCGTTGCCATTTTTGCTTCAGCTCTGTGATTCTGCTGCGCCCTTGCGTGCTCTTTGCCTCTTCTCTTTCCCACCCTTTTCGATGGATGGCTAAAGAGTCAGTCGCTTCGGAAAAGCGGATTACGTTTTAGAGATAAAACCGGTGGATCGGGCGGGGGAATAGGGGTGCGTACTACGCATCACGCACTCCATATAAACAATCCAATTCCGTTGGAACCTATAAGTAGACCTGGGCACAGGCAAAAAATTGACCCAACCCACGAACCCGACCCAATCCAGTCGGTTAGGGTCTCATATTTAGCTACCCGAATGTGAAAATGACCCGATCCGACCTAACCCAAAAAAAAAAAAAACTGAGTTGGGTTAGGTTGGGCCATGGGTCAACCCGCTGATCTGATTTTCAAGTCTAATTGGGATTATTTATGCATTGTTAGAAGTTTTCACTCTTTATTTTTTTCTATTTAGCCTTTACTTTTTATTGTTTACTCTTTAAATTGTTAAATGTTCAAGTTTTTTATTTTATATTTGGAATTTTAGGTTAATTCTTTTAATTTTGACATTTTTCATGTAATTTTTCTTTATTTTTCTAAATTTCAATTATTTTTTGGGATGACCTGAATTGACCCATGGGTCAACCCTAACCCGAACATTTAGGGTTAGGGTCAAGTATTTGACAACCTAACCCGAAGTACCTTGACCCAACTCGAACCCGACCCACCCAACCCAATTGCCAGCCCTACCTAGAAGTATATAATTGTAGTCTTGTGAGTTCAAATAGGGTAAAGAAAATTCCTGAACAGTACCCTCTATTTTGGGTTTGTGTCAAGCCAATCCCCCAATTTTATTGTACTAGACCCATTTCCATTTAGAGACTTTTTAAGGAGCTTTATTGCATTAGAGGAAGTCTTGAGCCTTGAGCAGTATAATTATTCGCCTGGTTCCAGTTGATCGTTGAATAGGGGAGCATGAACAGGGGAGCGGGAGCTTTAACAGTTGATCGGTGTTTGGTTTCATAACCCTTTTTCCCCTTTCCTTCTTTTAGCACTCTGACGAAATGGGCAAAATGGTTAGAAAAATACCATAAAAGGGTAATTTTGCTATTTTGAAATTATTTAATATACACCTGATGTCACTTGATGGTATTGATTAATGGTCACCTAACGGTAAAGACACAATTTGAAAGTTAAAAGTAGTACAACTGACTTGACACTAGAGGTGTCAATTGGATTGGATATGGTCCAACCCGATCCAGTCCAATGTGAATCCACTTGCAAATGGACTAGACCCAATCCAGTCCAATTCCAATCTAATCCATTAAAATGTAAATGGACTGTATTGGATCCAATCCAAACCGAATGAAATATAAAAAACAAACATATAAAAAATTACAAACATATATTAAAAAGAAGAAATTTTGAAAATTACAAAAATATACCCTTTTGGCATTGAAAAAACACATTTGTAAAAGTGCTTTCATAAAAGTGCTTTAATAAAAGTTCTCATAAAAGTACCTTGATAAAAGTGCATTTATGAAAGTACTTYRTAAAAGTGCWTTTATGAAAGTACTTTGTAAAAGTGCTTTTATGAAAGTATTTTGTAAAAGTACTTTTATAGTACTTACATATAAGTGTTTTACAAAAGTATAAAAGTACTTTTGTAGAARTGCTTTTATAAAAATGTTTTTGTAAAAATACTTTCATAAAAGTACTTTCGTAGAAGTGCTTTTGTAAAATTACTTTTGTAAGAGTGCTTGTAAAAATGCTTTCGTAATAATTCTTCCATAAAAAGCGCTTTTATAAAAGTATTTCTATAAAAGTGCTTTTATAAATGTATTTCTGTAAAAGTTCTTTTGTAAAAATGATTTCATAAAAGTAATTTTACAAAAATATTTTTATAAAAGTATTTTTGTAAAAGTACTTTTATAAAAGTTCTTTAATTTAATATTTGAATATAATATTATATATTATATAAATTTTAAATTATATAATATAATATAATATAATTATTATTATTGAAAATCAAGTTTTTAAAGAACAAAATCAACCCTGATAGGATGGATTCTAATTCTAAAAACTAAAACTTGGAACCTTAAACCAAATTGAACCAACCCATGTTCATCTCCGTACCCCTAACAAATAAAAAAACAAGACAATAAATACCTGAATTTTTTCACGGTTGCCTGGACTGGTCAGTGGCCTCAGTCTTCCTCCCATGTTCATGGTCAATGTCGTCATCTGACTCATCTTCATCATAGGCATGCATATTTGATGGTTGGCGAAACCAGAAAAAGGTCCGTTTAAATTAGTAAATTACCAGATCAAATCATTAGAAGTGTTCTGTGATTCGTAGTTTGTACCCAAAAATGGTAATACTGTATGAGCTATGCGGTCACCGAAATCTTTTCGCGTTTGATCAACACGTTAGAACAATGAACAAAAATAAAATGTAAAAGAAATTGTTTACAATTACAATCAAAAACCACAAAACCAAATCTTCTCCTTTTATCCTTTTCTCAAGACATCAGTAATATACAAAAAGGAATTATGTTACAAGGGGATCAGAGCGAGTTAGAGATCGAATTGAGTCCTAACTCGGCCACAAAACTAACAAAGATTTTTCCTTCTCAGTTTCTCTACGACTGTATTGGAAATATATCACAGCCAAAAATTGAAACAAAAAATAAGGAATAAAAAGCAAAGAAAAAAAGGGAAGAATCACCAGTCAGACTTCAGAAGGGTCAACGAAACTGTCAATAGATTCTCCTCTCCGATGATCTGTGCTTGGAGTCTGAGCCTCTGATCGGTCCACATCAATTGATACTTCCTCTGCCGTGGCAGATGTGGCCCGTTTGTGATGGTTTCTACTGTGTCTCAACTTCAGGATCCGTGACAGTGCCTGCACGACATCCCTGATGGAAGGTCGTTTCCTGGATACACGGTTGATACATTTGTATGCAAGAGCTGCAACATCATTGAGTTCCCGCACATCAAATTTCCCATCAAGGCGGGAATCAACTATCTCCTCCCACCCAACTCCACCCTCTGTATTCATTGTCGCCTATTCATTGCACATGGAATGTAATAGATATCAATGCAACAGTATCATGTGGGAAAAGAAAATTCCATATTAGTGGTGTTGGAAAACATAGTGTTCTCCAAACCTAACCCTAAGTTATTTATGAAACCACCATCAAAATTCATAACCTCAGAAAATTGATTTAGTTAATCTTATGATCACACCATGAGACAAAAATGAAGATGGCCCTAACTAGACAATTTGTCTTTCACTTTCACATGAGAGAGAGAGGAGAGATTACGAGCTCAACGTATTCCAGAAGACCCTGTTGAGGATTCCTGCCTGCGATAAGTTCAAAAAGCAAGACCCCAAAACTGTATATATCACTTTTCTTGGTGAAAGCCCTTGTTGATATATATTCAGGATCCACATAACCAAAAGTTCCCCTAACATTAGATGCATGTGGATTAACCATCTCTTCCCTTGATAGCCCAAAATCAGCCACCTGTTCAATGCATTAGTTTTTACATATTACCCACATCCATAAAGAATAAAAAACTAGGTTTTCTTTTATTGATAAATAATAAAACCAAAAGACCACTAGCCAATGTCCCAACCAATGTTGTAAAACTCCACCCAGACTGGACAGTTGGACCATGAAACCGGGAACCAGTGGACTTTCCGGGTTCCAGTTAAATAACAATTTTTATGTTTTTTTACAGGTTGAATGAGTTAACTGCCCAGTTAAAAAGCAAAACCAGGACGCGCGGAGCATTCCTGCTTTTAGTCCGATTCGGGTCATACAACATTGGTCCCAACAATCTAGGGTTTTGGGAGGGGTAGACTGGGTGGTCACTCTCAGACTCAAACCCGTCTTCTTGAACTTATCAGTAGGGGTGTAAACGGATCAAATTCAAATTCGAATCAGGCAATATCTGAATTCAAATTTAATTAAAAAATCTGATATCTGAATTCGATTCGATATCCAATGGATATTGAAAATTAATATCCGAATTTGAATCCGATTAAATATTTGAATATTTGATTCAAATTGAATTCGACCAATTAATTATTTTAGGTAATTAATAAGTATATAAAATAAATATTTTATTTATATAAAATATATACATATATAAATTATTTATATAATTTAATTATTTTAAATATAAATTATATAAAGAATTTAAATATTTTATGTGATATATATAAGAATTAAATAATCGATCAAATTTGGATATTTATCAAATCAAATCAGGTCATATCCGAATTTAAATCCGGTTAGCTATTCGATATAATAGGATATCCAATTCGACCGATTAAATATTTGAATTATCCAAATTCAATTTGATTATGAAATCGAATTTTCAAATGCCGTTGACACCCCTACTTGTCAGCCCAATATTTTACCGATACACCAAGTAAAGATCCCTACTAAAAATAGCATTATCCTCATAAATGATAATATAAAACCTAGGTACTAAAATACAAAAATATCATTATACTTATAAATGATAATGGTAAAAACTCAGGTCTATATCAATATCAAGTCAAGCAATCTCCAAAAATATCATTCTACATGCAACAGAGATGCTTCTTGTCCCATACTTCCATTCTCTATCTTTTAGGATAATGGCTGAAGTAAAAGACTTATTGTTTTGTATTTTAGTGAATAAAGTAATTAAATAATAAAATATTTGAGGGTATAGTAATCAACCCAGCTTCAGCTTGCTCACAACCTCCTCAATAACTTATTCACTAAAGACAAATCAACAATTCATTCAGTTGAGTGAGTCACTTCAGCTATTATCAGAGATGCCTAATAACCAATAGAAGATTTACATACTCTGGCTCTCATAGACTGATCCAATAGTATATTAGAAGATTTGATATCCCGATGCACTACAGGTGGAACAGCCTGTTGAAAACAATGAAGCCCAATAAGTATATAGAATTTCATTCAAGGAGTCTAGAGTAAGTTGTACTTGTTATTGATACAAAGAAACTTTACCCCATCATGAAGATACTCCAAACCCCTTGCCACATCTAGAGCTATATAAACCCTCAAATCCCAGCTTAATGGTTCCTTTTTTTCATCTGCAAATTTAAACAGTGACGAGATGAATTGCTATATGAGACAAAAGGAAAAGTTTATAAGACCAGCATTGCCTTATGGGACTGTATTGGGTGATTAAGAGACACAATATGTTCAAAAAAATGACTAGAGCTGAGATGAGATGATGTTATCATAAATGAGTCAAGAGAATCAGAAATGTGTGAACTAGAATGGCTCCACTGGGTGACAAGAAAAAGGGAAGTCATTTCTAATAAACTTGTTTCTAATTTTGTTCCTTTTAGTTAGGGCTGTACACAGGTCAATTCGGTTCAGTTGAGGTTCCTGAACTGAACTGATTGACCACTCAGATTGAGGTTTCTGCCAACCAAAACCAACCGACCTTGCATGAAACCGATCATTTGGGTTGAGAGTCAGTTTTTTGGTTTGGTTGGTTTTAAACCCAACTGATTGTTGGCAGTAAAAAACCCTGCTTGACCTTAACATTTCAGGTTTCTCTTAGGAACAATAGCCCCAATAAAAGAGCTCGCTGGACCTGAAAAAAATTACAAACCGAAAACCGAACTGACCATTCAGGTTATACATATTGATGAACCGAAACCGATGCAACAACTTTGAAAACTGGCCATTTGGGATCAAATCAGGCCAGTTTGGACAATTTGGTGATTTTTATGAACAACACTACTTTTAGTCTTACTACTCATCCATCTGAACATCCTCATGCCCACTAAACTTCTGTTTTTTTTTCTTTGTTTTTTCTGTTCTTCTAACAGTCCAAGGCATGTACCAATTGCAAAACACTCCTTGTAGATACCGTAAAGTATAGTAGATCAAAGGAAGTGCCTAACTTGATTCCCTTGAAATAATGGTATAAAAAATTCCACAGAGTTAATTGATAACATACCATATAAATGAGAAGCAAGGCTCCCATTACTCATATACACATATACGAGCATATTTTGCCCTTTCTCTGCACAGTATCCTACCAAATTTACAAGGTTTCTGTGATGTAACCTCCCAAGTAACAAAACCTGAAAACAAAGAAAAATTTAAGATTAAAGCCAGCTTGAGGAGACACAAAGTTGAGCTAGTGAGTTTAAAATTCAGTAATTGAAAAGTTCCAAATTTTAATATGTTCTTTTTCGTTTTTCTATGGTGGAGGAATTGAAACTCAACCCACTCCAAAACCCCTCTTTGGTTGCCCTGGACATTTTATCCAGGAGTACAAACTATCAACACATCAACAGTTGAGGATAGATATGTACTCACCACGAGTGTTCTTATACCACAGATGAAGTGGTATAAGAATATAGGTTCTTTAAACTATTTGGTTTACTATAAGCTTTGCATAACTGAAACCTCTTAGCTTGGATTAGGTTTAATCATTTTTCTTTTTCTTTTTTTTTTATTTTTTGGTGGGGGGATGGGTAACAGTAAAACTTCATTGAATATGAACAAAGAATGTTCAAGTAGAGTACAAAATCTTTTCTTTTTGTTAGGCTAGGCATTCTGTTCAGTGTCACATCCATTGTTAAATATTACATTTCTTACTACCTTGTAACACCCCAGTACAACTGATCCCTATTAACCCATTGTCTTGCTAGTGATTCAGCAAGATTCTTTTCTGATCTGTAAGTCCAACTCCATGTTATAACCATGTCCTTAACAAGTCTCTTTGCTTCCCTCAACAAGTGTCAATGATAAAGCTTTTTTTACCAGCAGCCAATGAAAAGGCTTCATCACTTGGTTTACTTTTCCTATTACACAGTAACTACATAACTATCTATTTATATATGGATCAACTATTTGGAGACTTTGGCTGTTTGATTTTTTTTTAAAGACCACTTTGTGCAACATCTTGTATGTATGAAATGACACGAACTTCTGCTTGGAATTCCCTTTCCCCTTGCTTGGAATTAGTAGCAAGCACTTTCACAGCAACTGTCTCGCCAGTTGACATCTGAGCTTTGTAAACAGGACCAAAAGCCCCTTGACCTATTGCTGTTGTAAAATTAGAAGTTGCTTTCTGCAAATCTCTGAAGACAACACAAGAAATAAGGTTATAAGCAAACAGGAATAACAAATTATTTAACATAATAAATCACAAAATAATAACCCTGTACCAAGTACTAGAAAGTAGCAACCATATGAACATATATGCCTACTATCTACATGGTAAATCTTGAAGCATTTAGGCTGGGTTTTCTATAGGATACTAGAAGAGACATGTGCAAATTAAAAGATGCACATGTTCTACAGGGGAATGGTCATATTCAGTTTCCTAACAAAGAGATTGGTTGTGGGTGAGATTAAATAGTCCCACATTCATTTTTTTTTATTTTTTTAAATTACAATAAACACAAAATTCTAAGGGGGGTAGGAAGCAATATGAGAAAAGAGAATAAGCTGATGTGGAAACCTGTATTTTAAGTATATAGGATAGATAAGAGACTCAATTAGGTATTATTTGTATTAAGAACCCACTCTATATAGAAGAATGGGATCCACGCCAAATATGACCTAAATTGAATAAGAAACAACAAAATTTTGAAATTAGAGTGGGAAAGAACCACTGTTCGTATATTTTTTAGTTCGAATTAAAATTAATTTAGCCCTTTTCTCTGAATGGGAGACCTTGCCAACAGAACTTATAAATCTTTAATCATATCTAATATATAGTAGAATATTAGATGGCATGATAACAGAAATAGAAACAGAACAAAGAGCTTTTTCTTTTCTTTTCTTTTCCTTTCTTTTTTGAAAGATAACTTAAAATTTAATAGTCAGCAATATGTATATATGCTGATTGCATACCTCCCCTGGAAGATGTTAAACTAAGACTTTAAGTCCTTGCATGGACAAAAAGAAAGGTCTCCATTATGGGCAGATTATTTGGCGAAGTGGAAGATGGTGTTTAAACTTAGGAAAGGAGGAGTTGGGAATACGCACCGTTTTGGAAAGGAACATTGCTTTTTGGGGTAAGTGGTTGTGGAGATTTCCCTTGGAGAAAGACCATCTTTGGGATTTAACCATTTGGAGTAAGTACTGAAGGAATAGAAATGGGTGGTACACTAACCTAGCTCATTCTTGAATTTCTTCCCTCAGTCATTGGAAAGATATTGTCCCTTACTTTGAGCTTTTTCTCCCTTCTTGCACAGTCTGGGTGATGGCAACCGAATTAAATCCTGGACTGACATTTGGCTTGGACAGCAACCTCTTTGTTTCTCTCACCCCCTTCTCTTTAGGCTTACCTTGAATAAACAGGCCACTATTTCCTCAGTTATCTCTAGAGGGGAGCATGGTCTTTCCTTTAATTCAGCTTCTGTAGAGCTTTAACTGATGTTGAATCCTGGGACATTTCCTCTCTTTTGTCCTCCCTTTCTTCTGTTTTCCTTACCTCTCTGTCTCCAAACAAGAGAATTTGGTGGCCGCCCACTAATGGTCAGCTCTCCATCAAATCCTTTTTTTGTAAATTGATGCAGGTTCAGCTAACTTCTCTTTGCCCCCCCCCCCCCATAAAAAAGATTTTCCTTTCAGTGGTCCATCCTAGAGATTGTTCTTTTGTGTGGGAGGCATCATGTGGCTGTATCAACACTTTTGACATGATTTTTAGGAAAAAGGAAGGGGAATCCTGTGGCCATCTTTCAAATTGTGAGATTGCTTGCTGCCTTTGGCAGAATTTCCTTGATACTTCTGTAACTGCAGCTTTTCCTGTGGCCAGCCTCTCCTGGGGTGCAATTTGAGTAAAAGACCCCCCAATAGAGTACATTCTTCAGTTTGATGGCATTTGTTTTAGCCTATCAAGCCACAGGGATCAGGCAGGTATAGAGGACAGAATTCTAACCTCCTCTGGGGATCTCATTTGGGCTTTCAGTGGGCCAATTTGGGAGGCAGATGTGCAGAATTTTCTGGTAGGTCTGAGGACCGTGATGTCTCTAAACATGTCTTCAGTGGTGGTAGAAGGGAATGCTGAAAAATCTGCAGGAAGGGCCATGTACATTCTCTCATCTGTTTAATGAAATCAGGGAAATCTGTCTTGGGTGTTCTATTTTTTCAGGTGGATCCCTAGAGAGTTCAATAGTGCGGCAGATGCTTCTGTGGTGGGCAGGGACTCCTTATATAGTGATCCTTTGTTACCTTTGTAAATGGTTGGGAGGATTCTTTTCTCGTTTTTTGAGCTGTTTTGGTGAGGTGTATTGCTTATTCATCTTGTAAATCCTTCTCTTTTTTGTTCTAATGAAAGTTACCTTCTCAAAAAAAAAAAGAAAAAAAAAACAAAAGAAAGAAACAAACAAACAAACAAATAGACTCTATCACTTCAGATGAACATGGGAAAATACAAAGGACAAAATAAATTGAATAAAGTGACAAGTGGGTAAAACTTAGCAAAAATTGGTTGTGTAACACTGATCCTGCTTGGAAATGCTGGTGAGGAAATGATTTAAATTTGAATCTTACTTACAGGAGACCATTTAAATAAGGAAAAGTTGTAGAATATTATCGTCAGCAAAATCAATAATCAAAAGTTTATTATGACTTGAAAACATGAGAACAGAAATGCAGGAAAAGAATATTAGTTAGTCCTACAATGTACAGGTACAGCAGAAAATTTTTCAACATACTTGTAGGTATACTTGGGTATTCCAGAAACAGATACTACATTCTTTTTCCTCTTATGTCCTTCCAGCCACAAGGATAACCTATTCCCTTCAGATGCTTTGGGTGATTCCTGACCAACTGTTGAGTCTGACAATATTGTACAAGAATCAGCACCATTAACACGCATAGGGATGGTTGCTGCCCTCCGGGAACTGCTATTCCCTATTTGTGAATGCTTCCTGCGGTACCTAATGCAGAAAAGAGTGGCAACGGCCAAGAAAGCTCCAATTATTACCCCTATGGAAATCCCAACTATCAAACCCCATGACACGCCTTTCATCTCCTTAATGGTATCACACTCCTTATCAAAGCCTCTGTTCCATTGGTACACCTGCGAACAAAGGTTAGTCAATCTTTAAGAAAAACTAATTTGAATGGTTTTATTAGAGTCTGCTTTTTTCCTTCCCTGTTTCTTATTCTTCTTCCTTATCTTTAATCAGGGATTGTTAGGATTAATAACTGAAAAGTAGATCTAATATGAAATTAGAAAGTAGTGTTCATAACAGATGCCATGGCAATCAAGATGAACGAAAATGAAGGACCTTCTGAATAAAAGAGAAACATTAAGAAATGTTCCAACCTTTCTAAGGGAAAAGCAAAGACTAACAGATGCTTCTTGTTAGATTGAGTTAATAGTAGCTTAATTCAAGTTAATGAATAAGGATAAACAAAGGATAGAAGAAGTTCAGAAGAAAGAATTGAAAGTCTTTATCCTTTCTATCATTATTATCTGAATAGAAAGAAAAACTTTAATCCGAAGAGTAGGACACGGCAAAAGAAAAAACATATCAACCTCTGCATCAAAAAGCGTCTTAAGAAAGGAAGCAGCAATTTTCGACAGTAGAAATCTATTTCAGAATAACTCACATCTCAATTTGAACTTGTTCGAACCAATATGAGTTGCTTAAATTTTGTTATTTGATACTTACCAAAATCACTAGAACAACAAATGATTTATTAACGGTCCCGGATCTGTGTGTTAGACATTTGGTTTCATAAACTTAACAACAAAAGTAACAGAAAATCCCGACGTGATTTTTACTTTGCAAAGCATTATACTTAAGAAGTTCGAACTGTCAATCAGTATAACAGTTAATAAAATTAGAGCGGCGTCCAATAAAATTCTAAAAATGAACAACCGGAAATCTATCCGATAAACCCAAATTCAGTAAGTGCCAAAGAAAATAGAAAAGATTAAGCTGGAAAACATAAGCAGATCTAATAAGAATAACAGAGATAACAATAAGATATAATCCAAACTCCTAAAGTCAATAAAGAGAATTAAAACAAACTAGAATTTTATCAAGAAATGTAGCAAAGAAGATCGACCAGAGTTCTATGATTCGATGTTACCTGTTCAAGCAACCATTACTGACTCAACAGTTGGTTTCAAAAGCGGGAACAGAAGCAACTGCAAATAGAATCCAGGCTAAGATCGTTATCCTAACTCCAAAAGGAAATAAAGGAAAAGAGTACTCTGGTTCTGATCAGAGAGAGTCTTGAGGTGTAAAATAGGATTAGTTCTGCTCATTCTAAAGAAAAAAAAGAACAAAAAAGAAAAGAAAATGAGAGAGACATGTATTTATTTTACTTTTAGGCTTTAGCATTAGAGTTATCGCCGTCGAGGCGTCAACTATATCAAAGAAGGCGCCAGGAAATGAAGGTGGTATTCCAAAAGTACCCCTAATCTTATACGTGGCGAAATTACGCTCCTGGGCTCCAGGATCTCCGCGCTTACTCACTAGTCACTACGAGTGAAGTTCACTTTAGCAGGTTGTACAGTGGTGGTTGATTGCAGTTAATTCCCATTAAATAAATACGTTATTCTTTGTTTGAAAAATTGGGGTAGGAGCAAACCAACCACCATACCTAATATAGTTAACTATACTATACCTAACAATGATAGGGGTTTCTTTTCGAAATCAGGTAAACTAAACACCAATAATAATAATAATTCTCGATATCATAACTTTTCGGCATCATAGACTTATCCTAATAATAAATTAATGATATGGAAGGAGATCCATCACAAGTTGTTGATCCATGGTCTCAAGAAGTATATTATTATATGGGCCTGTGGGGGTTATTTATGTAATTTGATAGAGATGTAGAGACGAGAGAGCAAATGCAGAATGTCTTTGACGGGAATACCAATGAATGCTTAAAAAGTCTAACTAAAATTAATGAAAAGTAAGAGTTTGGAAGCGGGAAGGCAAGTGGGGAACTGGGGGCGATCACATTTTATTAGTTGCTTCAAGCCTTCAACTTTGAATAAAGGAATCCACAATCTCCGCAATCCCCACCACTAAGCACTAAACCAGCCACAGCCAGAAACGACGACAACACCCTCTCACCCTCTCACGTGACGTCTTAATTACTTCAACTTTTATCTTAATTAATACTTTATAAAAATAAGCTGACTAGTAATCAAAAGCAACCCTAAATAATTTATGATTAATTATGACAATCTTAAGTTAAAGAATGAAGAGGCTTTTTTTACAATTAATTAATAATCCACATAATGCAAAAAAAAAAGTGCAATCGTGCAGATATAAAGAATTTCTGATTATCCAACGGTTGTAATGCTTCTATAACTTTAGGCGGTGCTTGGAACCGGTGTCGTTGTTCCAGAAAACAGTGACACATAAGTATTATCTTAAAAAAATAATGCTCCAAAAAATGATAAGATATTTGAAATTGTTTTTTTATAAAAAATAGTGTTTTTAATTTATGTATTAGAAATTGAAAAGGCATGATCTGGAGAAATACTGAATTTAACGTTTTTTTTTTAATTTAGAGCTTGTTACTGCCAATGAAAACATAATGTTGGCAGTGACATGAATTTTGTATATTAGATACCAATATTGAAAACAGATATGGAATACTAACAGCAATATTTCTAAAAAAAACACCATTTTCTCAAATAATGGCGTTGAAGACTGAGCTATGGGCCGCCCTCCACTCCCAAGTCCCAACTTCGATGATGCGTGAGGAACTGCATGATCCAACAACGAATGCAGCAACATATTTTGATTGTTGTAATGTATTAGGATTATCCAAATTGGGTATTGATTGTTGTTAGGAGTGCAACAACAATGATATCTCCTCATAAAATAAATGATATAAATATGGAGATATTCTCAACGTAAAGCGTAAAGGCTGTGAGAACGGTATTGAAACGGGTCTTGCATTCGGTTGTTTAGGGGGAGAAATTGAAAAATCATCATTGCATACTTTATTGCTTTGAAATTTAAATTTAAATTGATTGGCTGGTGGTCACAATCATATGTTTTGTTTCCCCACCGGGGTGTTTGGGTCCTTTGGGAGATTACTGCACATGACACGTTATTACCTAGCTAAAACCCCAAATTACCCCTAACCCTATCAAGAGGAAGAGAAAAACTGCGTTTCTACCCTATTATTCAGAGATGGAAATTAGGGGTGTAAATAAATCAAATTCGAATATGGTTAGGTAATATGTGAATTTGAACCCAATTAGAAAATTTGATATCTAAAGCTACATTTGGAAGAGGTGTAAAACGTAAACTACATTGATGATGTTTTACGCTAAACCTTAAATATATATATGACTGTTGTATTTTGAAATCGATGTAAGTTTTACATCGATTATCAATGTAAAACTTTAAATGTGACGAGGTTTTATATTTATCATCGATGTAAAACTACACTCCATCCAAACGCACGCAAAACTGAACCAGAGTGTAGTTTTACGTCAATAATGATTACACTTTTTTACCAAACACGTATAAAAGTGAACCGGTGTAAATTTTATATCAGTTCTTGATTTACATTGCATCCAAATACAGCCTAACGGATTTTAAAAATTAATATCCAAATTTGAATCCGATTAAATATTCTAATATTTGATTCGATTCAATTCAAATTCAACTAAATAATTATTTTAGGTAATTAATAAATATATAAAATAAATATTTTATTTATACAGTATATAAATATATAATTTATTCATATAATTTAATTATTATATATATAAATTAAATAAGACATTTAAATAGTTTATATATTATATATAAGAATTAAATAACTGGTCAAATTTGGATATTTATCGAATCAAATCAGGTCATATCCGAATTCGAATCCGATTAGCTATTCAGTATGAATAGGATATCTGAGTTCAACCAATTAGATATTCGAATTATTTGAATCCAATTCGATTATATCGAATCTCGAATTCAAAATTGGATTTTCGAATACCATTGACACCCCTAATGGAAATAAGCCTCTACGGAGAATTTGCCTAAGTATGTATTTAGAACCATGAGTGTTTATCCACTAAATGTTTGTATTTGATTTGTTTACATAGCTGAGAAAAGCAATAATAAACTCGTTTATTAACACTTAAGTGCCACTAGACGCCATTAGGCACTACATCAGCAAAATAGTGAATAAATGCCTATCCATTGGGAAAACGCTAAAATGAAGCTTCCCCCACACATCTGTGCCCCACATCAAACCCCAACCATGTATTGGAAACATGAACATCTCTCAATAACAAGTGTGAGAAATGTTTCCAAAGCACACTGACTTACTGAGATGTGCATGTGGGACATTTGTGGGATGCGCTCGCTCTATGGGACACAAACGTGAACTCTTGAAATCCAATTGGACAAGGGGTGTTGGAGTCTTGGGTGGGATTTGAATTCCATTGAATTTAAAAAATTAGATTTATTTATTTTTATTATTTAAAAAACAATAGTGTTAATCACTTTTAATTTGTACATGCAAAAGATAATCTTTTAGGCATGAAATTGAATTTAAATGATGGCATAACTGGCATGGAGCAAAATGATTGGTCCCACAGACAACAAAACAACAGCGATCAAATTCAACCAATCCATAACCATTCTCTAATTAATCAGCTTGGGTATATGGGAAAGTCATTTCCATTGTTTTCCAGCAGCAGTTCTATCTTATGTTAATCGAGCAGCGCTGATTGAGTCTCTTAGAAGAATTTATCAAAACTAGGTTCACCAGAAAGTTGATTTCAGTGTTTTCAAAAACGGATCAGATTGGATCGGACAGTCGGATTAGAAAAATCGGTCACTTGATTGGTTCTATTTCACTTAAAACTATTTTTTAGCCAAAAATTATTGATTTAGTCAATAAACCACTGATCCGAGCAGTCAAATTGTTAATCTAGATAATAGTTTTTGGTTAATTTTTGTTTTTAATTTTTTTATATTTTTTTATCAAAACAGGCCATTCATTCAGTCCAAACAGTCGGGCTGTTTGACTGAAAAATCAGACTTAAAACAATTTATTTTCCGATCCAGTTTTAAATTAAAACCTTAATTGATTTCATCAAACATGACTTTTCGGCTTTCTGCACAGGACATGAACCTACCTCATAATAACCAAAGCCACTGCATGAAAATCCTCCCAAACGGGTACTATGTAATGTATTATGCATCCACTAAAACACCACGACTTATATAGACACAGGCTATGAACCAAACAATGACGGGCCTTACATACGAAAAAAGAGGTTTGGTGAAGTAGGTCCGTCGCATTCGTACGTGAACATTAATTCCAATTTCCAACCATCCTATTCCCAATCAAGTGGAGGACCCTCTATAAAATCCACATGCTTAATCCTTCCATCCATATCAGCCCTCCCTGAAAGGCAGAAATGAGAAACCCACCTTGGTAATTATGATTTCTCAACTACTTGATGCCGGCCAGAAGGATATCATATCAGAATAACTGTGGCCAATCAGAACCGTTTGAGTTTTGATGAAGACAATCTGATTGGTTGCCAATTTTATGATACTAGTTCATTGTTCTATTAGTTCTTTTTTAGGTATCGTGCCTTTCTCTTATCATCATAATCTGATTTTAAATTTTAATATTTTAATATTAAAATTATCCATTGTAAGCACATGGCGTGCATGGCCTTCTGACACAATTGATTCAACAAATGAAGCTAGCATTGGCAAAAGGAGCGATCGAGAGGATTATTTCGGTCATATTTAATATTCCTGGGTTGGGTTGCTTAATTAGACTAGTTCGTTCTGAACTACTCTTGCTTGTAGTAAACAGCCTTTCTCCAATATCAAGTATCAACCATGTGGAGCGATTCGGATGCAGCGGAAGAACGATTAATTAGTCTAACTTATTTAGAATATCCATTGATGAGAACAAGATTGGACTCTATCATTTTTTTTTTTTTTTTACATTTAGCTTTAATTCAATGACTAATGTATACAAAATCGCAATCGAATAAGTTGCAAGGTCTTTACGTATCAGACTATATTAACAAGGAATCTTCTTCTAATCTATGGATAGAGCAGCTGCATTATTCTTCTCAGCAAGACAATAAGATAATCAGCTTGGTCATCTCCTTTTGCTTATTTTGTGAGTATTTGATTTATTCAATTAAAAATTGAATCAAATAAATCCAAATTTTAAAAACGAAAATTGAAAATTGAACATTAATTATAAAAAAGTGAAATAAATATTCCGAACATTAAAGCAAGTTGACGAGACAACCTCATCCACCGTCAGGCGTCATTAGGGATTACTTTACCCGCCGGTAGGGGACAGATCCAAA